CCATTCCTCCTGGTCCACCGCCCATTCCTCCTGGTCCACCGCCCATTCCTCCTGGTCCACCGCCCTTTCCTCCTGGTCCACCGCCCATTCCTCCTGGCCCACCGCCTATTCCTCCTGGCCCACCGCCCATGCCGCCGCCACCTCCACCACCAGGTCCACCACCTACGCTTCCTGGCCTTCCACCTGACGCTCCCATTCCTGCGTTAGAACCCATTTGCTTTTTCATCTTCAAGTAAAAAAATATAAAAAAATAGATAAAAAATAGAAAAAAAGAATTTTGTGCCATCCACTGAAGACATCTTATCCTTGAACCTCTAAAGACATTGACTGGGATCACCGTGGGGAAAGTGCAATCTCTACGACATTTGTTTTGCCTACCTTTTCCATTTGTTCACGCATTTTACGCATTTGTTCAAGCATTTTTTTCTGCATTTCTTCGAAGTATTTTCGTGGACACGTCATTCGTTCAATCATGACGGGAAGGTGGTCCCATTCGAAAGAAATGTTCAAGTTTGGATTCCCATTTTCGTAGTTTAGAACAGAGCTCACGTTGATGTTGTGCTTTTGACATGTCTTACCCCATCTGATTCCTAAGTCCCATCGCATGCCCGGGACATCGGCCCTAAGTAAAGAAATACCATAACTATTGATAACTGTAGATAGTTATTGAATTTTCCTAAATGAATCTAATGAGATCCGTTTAACCAAACATCGCATAGCAAGACGGATTTGGCTGGACACGATCACAGCATTGCACGTTCACGTTCACGTAAATTGCACGTTCACTGTATGGCACGGATAAACCTTTTAGTATCAACTGAAATATTGTCAAATATTTACTTACGCACTCTTAACGCAAGCCATGTAGGTAATTTCTCCTTGTTTCTTTTCGTAGGCTTTGGCAGAAAATCCGCCGAAGTTATTAGCAAGCCCGTCGGACAAAGGATCCCATACCTGTGGCTGGTTCTGAGGTGGCTTTGTTGTGTTCAACTCCATGTGATATTCAGCAATCTTCGTGTCATTTTCTCCGTTAACATGAAACTCCAACAGGTATTTCTAAGGTAGAATAGGATTTACGTAGGTATGAAAAATCGTTAATACGACAGGGACCCGGTTAGGGTTAATTGCTTTCCCCTTTTGAGGATCAACTTCTTTGTTCAAGTAACTTCCAAATCAATGGAATGCTCAATGGAATAAAACAAGGTTTGAAATAAGAACAAACTGGACCAGATACCATTGTAATTCATCGACTAAAACTGAAATATCTAATTCATCTTGATGTACATAACGTGATTGTATTATCATAAAACAGTAATGATAAAAAGGTAAATTATACACCGTGAAAAGATGAAAAAACTTACTGACGTTTCGGACGCTAGTCCTTCGTCGGAGTAAAAGATTTATATTATCATAACATAAACTTACGAATTCTTCATCGTTTTCTTGGGTGATGTTCTGGTATTTTATCTGTATTTCATCAATTTTCCTGCTATTAGGTTCATACCACATTTGCGTACCCGTCTCATTATCTGTCTTAAAGCAAACCTTCATAGAATCATTCCAAGCCTCTATGCATCGTGATGGCGGAGTATATGTTTGTTGTCCACTAGAAGCCGCAACTGTTTCAACATTAGGGCCCAAACTTGGAGGAGTACCACCAGACCTTAGGCCACCACCTGCATTAAGGCCCCAACCTGGAGGAGGACCACCAGAAGATTGATGGCCGGCGCCCCCTGCAGCTCCCCAACCAGGAGGAGGACCACCAGAAGACTGATGGCCGGAACCCCCTGCAGCTCCCCAACCTGGAGGAGGACCACCAGAACTTTGTCCAGCACCTGCATTAGGGCCCCAACCTGGAGGAGGACCACCAGAACCTTGTCCTGCACCACCCTGAGCTTGCCCGAGACCAGGAATTTGAAGACCACCAGAGTTTCCACCTGTACGTACGCCAAAACCAGGTAAAACTGACACTTGAGGTGTTTGCCATTTAACTTTGTCGTACTTCTTGAATTCACCTCCCAGCTTGACAAAGCGGTAGAATGCAGAGCTTTGAAGAGACGAAAGCATGGTTGACAGAAACCCAAAATGAATATTCTTAAAATTTGAATTTCCCACTCTACGTTTGAGTATTTCTTAAAGCAACGACAAAAAAACAAAAAAAAGAAAAAAGAAAAAAAAGAAAAAAGAAACAAAGTTTTGGCAAACAAGACAACAACTTGAAACTAAAAATAAGTTTGTCTGTGACTTCTAATACTCTAAAACATTGGACTTTTCGGTTTTGAACTCAAACCTTCATCTGCATTAAAAAACTGAAATAATGGTGTACAGATTTGTTTTGTAAGAAAATTTGGAACAAGGCTCGAAGCACAGAAGAGACCGACAATCATGGATTAATCATACGTGCACAATAGTGCCCACCCGTTTTTCAGATGATAACATTGTTGGGTGCAGGAAAGGACCTAAGTGGATGAGGCTTTCCGTCGCGATCCTCACTTCTTCATAATTTAACCTTGGTACGCCTTATCCTCTTGATGTGCAACGCGACAAAATTGTGTGACACTATGTGTCGATCGGGTGACAACTATGTAAGTATTTGTTCTTGTAATTTTGCAAGTTTACCTTGAATCGTAGAAGTTATACTTCTTCTTGCTCATGATTGAACCGATAGTGTACTTTCGGCTTGGCGGTTGCCCATTCAGTGTGAGCTTCTCGATGGGTACAGGACAACGGTGAGACATGTTTTGATGCACAACGTAGCCAAGCTTAAGGTCACGGTAGAATATGTATGTCTTTGTCATAGAGTACGTGGATAAGCTGAAAATGATAAACTAAATTAGATATATATGAATGATTAAATTATTTTGCGCTATAAATCCCTGCCTGCCTGCCTGCCTGCCTGCCTGCCTGCCTGCCTGCCTGCCTGCCTGCCTGTCAAGCCGAAACGTACTTCTGCCACACAAGATTGCTGCTGCGAAAGCCTTCAATACCAGCCGTTGCATGACAAAAAAAAAAACATCTTTCAATTCTTACCTGTAGCATTCCCGGCAATTTGCCGAGATGTCAGTTGGCTTATTACTCAAGGACAGAAGATTCAGCATGGGTGTGGTCTTGGCATCAACATACAGACCGTACGAAAAGATGCCTGCAGTGTTGGTTTTGATTTTCAGCGGTATTCCAATGGACGTAGGGATCTTCCTCATGGCATCAAAGAGAATGTCGTTCGCGCTAATATTAAACCTGAATCCTGCTTTCAGGGAGTTCGACCACCAGTCTTTGTCAACCCTGATCGTGCCGTCTTTTATCAGGTTTTGGATGAATGTGTGAGAGTCGTTCAGAACCAAGTAAGCAATTTCTGAGCCGAACATTTTTGATGACAGTGATGTCTTGAATGGTAGTTCGCTTGTCGTGCTTGGATCGAGCTGAATTGAAGTAGAAGAAAATATTTTTGCTAACTGTCAATATATTGGGTCAGGTCGTGGGAAGCGAACTTTATTCCATTCTCACATAATCAAGCCGGGATAAACAACACCTAAAGTCACTCATTGGTAATTTAATTTGCAATTGTTCCCAAATGACCTGCATGGCCGCCATGTTGGTTTATATATTGCACCAAAGAAACTCTTAACTATGGAAAATCTTTAGTGAAGATCAACCAACATGACGGCTAAAGAAACAAGCAAATTTAGCTTCATCCTTAAGCTTGTTGTCGTTTCGTAGTCCTAAAAACGCCATTTTGAACAATTCATACTAATCTATTACCATTTCTTTCATTCTCTTGTAAACTTCAGGGAATCCGTCGTCATCTGCGCTTCTCTTTCCTCGAATGAAGTCCCATAGTGACGTCTTCTCTTCCATCATCCCGTATGGTCCAAAGAGGTTTCTGAGAAGAGGTACAATCTCGCGTTGCCGAGCTTTATGCTGTTATTACAAAGAAATTCAAAGAGTAAGATTTAAGGCTTCTTTACATACATTGTGAATGTTTGCCTCTATGAAACTCATGGCACTCAAATATCTGTTGTAGCCAATATGTTGATGAAATGTTTGATAAGCTTATTACCTCAACGTGCTCCATGTAGTGACCCAATAGTGTCATGTAGTGTTTCAACTTGACATATCTGGGGAGTCCGCTGAGCGTAGTGTGCACAGATTCAACATTGATCGCCTGGGTGAATATGTTTGGTATACCTCCCATCGCAAACGACTTGGAGAATGAGTAACGAGTCTCGAAATCTGGTCGAGGGAGGTTCGCAGTTCTTGCTAGCAAATCAATGGATGCTTTCCTGAAATAATAACATCATCGTTTTCATTACTAGCGTTATCATGACCACGAAGACTACCATCTTCGCCATCATCACCATCATCGTGACCTTCTTTGATCATCTTCATCATCATCACCATCATTGTCATCATTATCACCAGCATCTTCATCCATCATCATCCATCATCAACACCACCACCTCCACTACCAACACCATCATCACCACCATCACCATCATCACTATCATCATAACCATCATCACTGATCATCGCCACCATCGCCATCATCACCCTCATCATCCATCATCATCACCATCACCACCATCATCACTGATCATCGCCCATCATCATCACCACCATCACCACTGATCATCGCCACCATCGCCATCATCACCCTCATCATCCATCATCATCACCATCATCATCACCATCATCACTGATCATCGCCCATCATCATCACCACCATCACCACTGATCTTCGCCACCATCGCCATCATCACCCTCATCAACCATCATCATCACCATCATCACATGCCATGCCATGACATTATGGATATGGTATAATGAATGAAGTAAACACATCTTGCATTTCTTTTCACTAACCTGCTCTTTTTTGCCGGGCAGTTCAATTTGCTCTGAGTAACGAGGTACGTATAGACGAACTGTTTCATTAATGGGTTGATCTCTGTTCTCATCGTGTTGGCTAATGGCATGAGAATGTCAGTCCTAGTTGGTCCAGTTCTAATCAGTTCTTGGAAAGCCACAATACGAACCTCTGGACAAAACGACCTGTTTACAAAAATGTCACGCAGCCCCTGTTGCAACTGGGTGAGAAAGAGATAGACAATAAGAAGGTTGCGTCCTAGGACATAGTGGAACATGAATAGAAAGACTAATTTGTTTCACCAATGTGTATCCACTTTCGATCCAAAAACGTGGAAAATTATCGACCCGAAAGATTCCCATCCAAAAGCTATGAAATTTGGACATCCCGAACAATTTTTCCATGGAAAAAAAGAGGAAATTTTGATATATCGAAGGCATACTTATTCCCAAAACATGAAGAATTCCACCCAAAAACTTTTTCCATGTTAATGCAATTCTCAATATTCTGTGAACTCGAGCATTTCAAAGGTTTGTTGTGAATTTGGTTTTTACTGTCGTCAGTCAAAAATATAAAAGGTACCGAGTGATAAGGGGGGGGGGGGGGGGGGATTAGAGCGTGCAGCTTACAAACTACCGAGTTTGTGTAATATAGAAATATGCGCAGTAAAACGTCAAAAGGTCTATCGCACTCGACTATAGGTTTAGATATATTATACAGAATTCAAACCTTGCGTTGATCAGCAACATCAAGTACCATGCGTCGTGTGGCTTCCATCGCAGCAATGCTAATGGCATTATGACCATCCCATGTGGTTATAATCTTCATCAGTTGAGGTAACAGCCTTTTCTGTCCTGAGTTACCAATGGTTTTCAGAGCCACCACGAGCTTTTCGTTGTCTTTGATGACTTCCATGTGATGCTTTTGGGAGTGCAAGTTTGTGTCGTATTCTTTTTTCATAGCCTGTAAGGAGACAGGACAGGAAAGCTGTTCAGTCAGGATTTTATTGACGATTCTCGTCAGTTGCTAATGAACTACTTCTACGGTGACCCATAATGCCTGATTGTGATTCAAAATTACCGCCGTATCGACGAAGTAGTCCATTATAATAAATCATTTGCTCCTTCAATATCATAAGCTAGAACTTTTCTTTTCCTACCTCAATAAACATATCAGGACACGTCTGCTTTTCCTTGCAGTATGAGTGAACCAGTGAACCAAACGCGAGCCAGCAGCTCGAATGGACAGTGGCATCACTAACCACAACAGACGTCTGGCACAATTTCTACAGAGTACAAGATATCTTGTTAATGCAATACAAAAGTCAAACAGCGTAGCATTGGATGCTTGGTTTTATTTTCCCGCCGAAACGAAAATTAGCCGTAAACGGAAGTGACGTCATCGAAGCTATGTAACCGAGAGGGACTTGGAACTAGTTTATTACTTTCGAGAAAAGAGGCGTTATTTAAAGATAAGAGGCATTCAACATCTAAAAGGAAGGACATAACTATCTTAATAGGCTGCTATCAATAGACGTCATTTCCGGTAATGACTTCCTTTTTAATGGCTTGTAGAATCTTGGAGGTTGTTTTGATTTCTTGTTTCCTTGTTTCATGTAGAAATAATCAAATACAATAGTTTGAGGTCTTGTTTGGACATATTTTTTTTTGACTTGAGAAACCAATGAATGACATAGTGATTGCGTGACGATGGTGTTTTGAATATGTGATTGCGTGACTAATACATACCATTATATTTCCACACAATCCCTTGGTAGGTCTGTTTACCATACCGAGTCGTGTCAGTAGTTTTACGGCAGACATTCCAGATATCGATTTACTTTCTATCTTATCCTTGATTTCTTCCCCGGCAGCATCGCTTCCAACAAAAGGTAACGCGCTTTCAAGCCATATTCTGTTGAAAAAGGGAATTAAAGCTTATTAATTAAGAAAAAATGTGCCGTGCTGTGAACGTTACCGTGCCGTGTCCGAGATTTCTGATTGGATGAACAATGATGTCACGTATTATGACTGATAGACTGCATTCCGACGTGCTGCAACCCTATACCACGATAACGGTAGTAGCTCTGTACCATTGTTTAATTTGAACCCTCGATTCATTAGAGTCATGCATACTTTTTTACCTGTATTTATCTTGATTGTAGTATTGTTGGTATATATCTCTGAACGTCGCTTCATCCACATTCCATTTCAGTTGACCTATGAGTTTGGAGTAGAGACTGGGCGCCTCAGCACTGATTAGGTCCCAGACCTTTGTTTCTTCACTCACTAGTTGAGTAAGTCGATCAAGAGTTGCCTTCACCTAGAAGTGATTTTATCAGTCAGCATCTTTAGAGGTTTGTTCACGTTAAAAGTCAACACAGTTTTAGTTCAAAGGAAAACTGGTGATGAGATCTGCTTGCATAGGATTATGGGAACTTAATAGGAGAGGCCAGGTGGCAGAGCTTTTCGTACCCGTCCACAAAGTTAGGCCCACAATCAGCTATGCGCCATAATATCGTTACCAGTCTTCCAGGTGAAGATCTCTGTTACTATTGGATTGTGGGATCTCAATAAAGGAGGCGAGGTGGCAGAGCTTATTGATTTCATCGTCCCCCTATTCTGGACCACTTTCCTATGCACAATATTATGGTTACCAGTCAATATCACCACTCTCCGTACAGTGCTCTTCCGTAAGGTTCCCTCCACCACTACATTAGACGAGATGGGCCTGGCTTTGGTAAATGTGGCATGCGCTTTTCAGCTCAAGGCTGTTGTGAGTATACAAATTCTCAAAGACAGAGGATGTATTCAAATGATTTGAAAGAACTATAATATTCGTTCTGACTCGGGAATTATTTTTGTGTAACCGGCGGCAAGGCGCTCAGCTATGAATCAGATTGCAAGTGGTTTTGACAAAAGAATTTATTGAAAAATTCACACAACTTTACAATACATGAA